ATGCAATTCAAGAAATAATCAACAAGTATTTCAAAAATATCCTGTATGAAAGAAACTTCAATCTTGAAAACTTTCCAGACTGGCAAGATGAATATCTGCCCAAGCCAATCAACCAAACCATATATAACCAAGTGCTTTCTCCATTTGATAACAATATTATTGACGAAGCCATCCATACTCTTCCCAGAAAGAAATCTCCAGGAAAATCTGAAATCAGTTATGATATAATCAAACTGTTAAAAGGAAAAATCACAACCCATCTTACCTCAATTTTCAATCAAATTCTAATCTCTTTATCAGTTCTACATTTTTGGAAATAAACTGCCATTACTCTTATACCTAAAAAACTTCTTTGAAGCCACAAGCTTAATGACACCAGACCAATATCATTAGTCGATTCCACAAAAAAGATTTTTACTGAAATAATTAACAAAAGACTCTCTAGCATCTTGAAATCTAACTCGATCCTATCAGAATTTAGCTTTGCAGGACTTTCAAAACAAAGTACTCTTGAACCATTAACTATTATTAACTCAGCAATTCAAGCTGCAAATGTTAGCAACAAAGAATTTTGGTTTGTTTCACTTGATATCACCAAAGCATTTGACTCTGTTCCCATACCAGCTATCAAAAAATCTTTAGAAAGAATCAAGTGTCCTCCTCAGCTAATAAGTCTTTTCACCAATCTGCTTACGAATAAAGAAATATCTATCAATTCACCTTTTGGTCCAACTAACCCTTTCATGGTCAACAATGGTATAGAACAAGGAAAAACCATTTCCCCAATTACATGGATCATTTTTTATGATCCCTTTATCTCCAAACTCTCCAGATGCAAGAAAATTCAGAGGTATTTAGCTCCGAATGCTCTCACCTACATGGATGATTTAGCACTTATTGCTGACTCCAAAACAAAAATGGAAGCCCTTCTTGAAACAGCCAATCAATTCTTTCAAATGAATGACATTATATGCAACAAAGATAAAACCAAAATCATTAATAATATCAAAGTCAAGTATGGAAGTCCAAGAACAATTAACTTTGAAAATCTTCCAATTCAAGTCCTTAAATCTTACGAGAGCATCAAATACTTGGGAGTCCTTATCTTTTCATGTAGCTTCCTTAAGGCCAATAGGAAAGCTTTTAGTTAAATAACCTCACAAATTTTAGATGAACTCAATAAGCACCAATGAAAAGGAGAAATCAAACAACATATCTGTAAGTGGATAATCATGGGAAAAAATAAATATTTCCTATCAATCACCTATCTAAACAAGAGCCTCCTCAATACTATCCAAAGAAAAGTCAATCAAGTTATCAAATCAGGTTATAAAATCTCCTCCAAGTGTTCCAATTCAATTATAATGAGCCAAGGAGGACTCAGCTTACCGCTGCTCGAGGAATGTCAGAGATCAAGCCTCATAAACAATCTCATAACCAAGCTAGCTACTCCTATGACTAGAAAATATATAATTCAAACTATACAATGTATTCAAAAAAAAGAAGCTATTTGGTTCTGCCCAATATGTGATCCAGAAAAATTTGACCAAGATAACTGGATACTTTATGTAACAAGAGCTGCAAAAAACTTCAAGATACAAATCTGTCTACCAAACTGTCCTCTTCAACTAGAAAATACTTGTAATTCTATAGGTTTCTTTTTCAAAAATTTATCATTATAGCTTAAAAAAACAGCAATCAATACATCCAATGCCCTTAGCATTAAGTTCTCCAATCAACTTCTCCGATTCAACAGCTCAATTAAGCTAACGTGGTTGCAACTCATTTCACATACAGGCATCGTATGCTGTGGTCCTGAACCAATCTGGTTCAAGAACTTCGTCAATAACAATAATCTCATCGGATCTTATAGATTAATATCAAATTCAAATCTGACATTTTGGTTTCTACATACCATAAATGCTATTATCAAGACTCACAAAAGATATCGTCTTATTCGAGAGAACACACCTCTCAAGGGAAGACATTATACAATCGATTCTAATAACAATCTTATCAAGTGTTTGGATTGCCCCTTAGGCCTCTCTCTCAATAACTATTGTTTAATAACTTTCCTAAGTTCCAATACTTCTTTACTTTGGACAATCAATAAAGTTTCACTCAATACCAAGTATTACCTTTGCAATATCATTGGGGACTTAGCAAACTTTTCAACAGAAAATGAAACCTTTCTCCAATCAGTCAATATCCTGCCTCCCACATTATTCCCCTCTCCTCTACAGGCAATAGATCAACGCAACCTGTACTATATTCAACTTTCAAAACAAGACTTAATCATCAATAAGACTAAAGTTATAATGTTCAATCCAGGACTCCCAGATGACAATATCCTGTGAGTTATATATGACATTATTCAATGGTGCCCCTCTCACTCCATTATTGAAGTCAGAAGCAATAAAAGAATCATTCGAACACTACCTGCTTTTCCCAGGAAATATGTAAAAGTCAACTTCGCCATTTTAACTTCAAAAATTAAGCAAATCTCAATACAAAAAGATATATCCATTGAATTCATCAAGCCTAAATCAAAACCAAGATACACCAACTCTATCTTATGGAATAACTCAAGTCTTTATTTCGCAGAAAATCCCACCATCAACAAAGCAGATCTGGGCAGCAACTCAAGGTGGTGCAAAAAAATCTTTAGCATCACCAGATCATATATCATTTGCGAAAGTTCATCCATAATCAAAACATTCGATCAATCTCATAATGCTTTTGAACTTCAAATAATCAACTCTTTCAGTAAATTCTTAAAAGGACTTCACAACAACACTTATAGTGATCTCATTGCATTCAGAATTAAATTGCTCTCAAACACACTCCTAATATATGAATTTCTTTATCAGCTATATTCTAAACACTACAAGGATCCATATTGTTCAAGATGCAGTCTCCGGACTGAAAATATCTTTCATATCTTTAGCTGTCCCTTAGCAAAAAAAGAAATCAGACAAATAATAGACTCCATCAACCTTATCCTTCATCTTGACAGTAGTAACAATACAGTATCAAATGCACATCAGGTAGTAGGACTTGCCTGTGGAATTACAACTGGCATCTTCTCTACATCTGACATACATAAGTGAACTCAAGTATCTACTGAAGCTCTCATATCTTCCTACAATCTTATTTGGAAACCCTGATATAGTATAGCGAATACCGCATCTATTACTGATATCAAATGGGACAAAAATCTCAAAAAAAGGAAAAGCGATAACAACAGTAACACCAACAATAATAATAATATAATACCAGTTCTTTCAATATCCCCTCCAGTAATAATACCAATAATGACAACCCCAATAATAGTTCACTTTCCAATAACAATACTTCGTCATTAGCTTTTAACAGTACCATAATTGATATTTCAACTCTTGTTACAGAAACATTTATTCAAAGCAATTTTAGTTTTCCAAGATGTATATATAATCTCATTTTTAACTATCGTAATATTATTTCATAAAACTCTGAATAGGTATTCACAGCTGCTTGGTATCGCTTATTTAGTATACTAGTTTAAAATATCTTTTCTAGTAGAAGTTAAGTGATTACTGTAGAAGTATTTAACTCATTGCAAGTTGTATATGAGAGATGTTGTTTCTTTTTATAATATATACCTTGTTATATACGAATAAATAAAGAAATAGTGTTTACCTATATTAAAAAAAAAAAAAAAAAATATTGGATTATAAATTAAGATTAAAATTTGTTAATAAAATATATAGTTTTTAAGTATATATAGTTAAAAAATATATTCAAAAAAATAAAAAGTAATACTAATAAATTATTATAGAAATATAATTAAATTAATATTATATTAAGTTTAAATTTTTATTGCTATAAAGTTATTATATAAATATTTTAATATTTATATATAAAAAATTATTTAAAAAAAAGAAAAGTAAGAAAACATCAAATTTTTTTTGCAAAAACTTTGTATATATCAAACAATTATAAGCAAAAAATTAATTTTATATCTTTTATATCTTTTATTTTTTTATTTTTTTTTAAACATTTTGAAAATAGCTTTTTTTTATTAGAGATAGAAAATTCTTTTAATAAAAATTATTCTTAAGTGTTTTAATCAATAAGTATATATTTTTATAAATATTAACTTTAAAAATTATAATTGGTTTTTTTATCTAAAAACTGGCAAAAGATAATTATGTCATATTAGTTACAAGAACTCAAATATGGAAAGAACTATGGCCAATAATAACATTCAGTATAGCAATTCAAGTTATATTTAGATAATCAAATTGAATTATTTATTTGTTTCATCCTATTCTTAATATTCAATCATTGATTATTACCATTTTATCTAATGTTAATACAATCTGAATTGGGGAATCTATTTTGAAAAGAGTAGAGCTATAAAGTTATAAAGAAAACCACCAGAAAGGTTTTACTTGTAAAACAAAATTTTCCTTACTTTTTTACAGATAAAGTAGTTTTAATATAAATTGTAGTATAAATTCACCTTTTTAATGCTGGTGCTATAATAAAAAACAGATAGCAGGGATTAAACTAGACCTTCATGTAATGACAATAATTCTAAGAACTAGATCGCATGTGTTGCACTTCGCCTAAAAAAAAATTAAAAAACCCCATTCAATATTTTTTGTATTATACAAAAAAATAAATCAATAATAAAAATTACAACTTTCATTAATTTATACAGTATTTTCTTTTTTTAAAACAAGCAGGACATTGTATCTATTCAACATATTAAATTTGTTATAATTAAATAAAAACTTTTTTTTGATAAATACTACATATAAACTTGTTATTTAAGTTTTAACATCATAACAAACTGTAACTTCAAAACTATTTAAAACGTATCGTAATATAATGTTTCTATAGAATAATATTAATTATTTACAGTATTTCAATCGATTCCTCAGTTGCTTACTTTGCTTTCAATATTCTATAACTCTCGTCTGTGATTCGATTAAAAAAAAAGTCATTTTTTCTATTTATACCATCATGTACCCGCGCCTCATATTCCTAGCTCTATCGTATAGTCCATTAAAACTTCCAATACAATACTCATCCAAATCCAACATTACAATCCAGCTTAGCAGAAAGAAGAATAAAGGATTAAACCATCCCAATAATATATCCATTAATCTCAACGTACATATTTGGTTAAATTGGATGGACACGTGAGATATTATTATTGGAGTGTGTGTTTGAATTGGAGAGATAGACTTTGTTGGAGTAGATTTTGTGTTTGATAAAGTAGATGTTTTTTGAGCTGAAGAGAGAACCGAGAAATGAGAGATGGTTTTATAAGTTGCAGTGTAGGTTGAACTGGTAACAAATGAAGGGGAAACGGTTTTAGAAGAAGAAACGGTTTTAGAAGAAGGAAAACCGGTTTCAGAAGAAGAGGGAAAACCGGTTTTAGAAGAAGGAACAACGGTTTTAGAATGGGGGGAAGGAACAACGGAAAGGACAGTAGTTTTAGAAGAGGAAGGGATGGAAATTTTAGAAGTTGAATTCAGAATTAAACCGATAGTGGATGCAGAAACATTGTCTGAATTTGTGATTGAAGCCGAATGCGATGTAGTAGTAATAAATTTTTGGAGTGTTTTAGTAGGGACCTTAGTTAAAGTTTTTGAAATAATAGTTAAGGACTTTGTAACATTGCCAGAGGAATTGGAACTATATCGAGTATTGTAGGTTGTATATAAAGGTGCGGAGGTTGAAAGTGCGGAAGTAGAGCTCGAAATAGAAGAATCAGATTTTGTAATTACAAAATCAAGATTTAAGAACCCTGAATTCAGCCTTGTCGTCGTTGATGTTTTCCATATTACCTTGGTTGAATTAGACGGCGTGATCGAAGTTGGGTTTGTCAAAACCGAATTCTCAAAAGTGCTCAATGATCGCTTATATGGATATTGCATTGGATGGCATTGCCAGGATTGATTTGATAATGGTTCGGCGTTAAATATTGCCATTCGAATTGTTAGAATTCCTTTTGAGAAAGGAAATGATATAAATATTTAGAGTATAGGTAGAAGATTAGTAAAGTATATATAGATTCATTAAATCTACTTACCATGGTAAAATATCCAAAGCAAGGCGCACATGCTAAAAGCAAAATTTTGTAAGGAAATAATGCATTTGTCATAATTTCAGATATTGTGAGGATAGCTTACAAATAATGACCTCCAAGCTCTTGTGTGTGTTCTTTTCGTACTTTCCATCCATACTTTATAAATGTCCAAACTTTCGGGATTGTATAAGCACATTTGAAAAGTTAAAAAAATGGACTCGTGAAATTCCGAAGGAGAGAAAACGTAACTCACGTGAAAACGAAATCGCCGTTATAATTAACATAAGGTATCTAAGAGGAATTATATGAAAAGTGATATTTGCGGTATTACAGTAATGAAAATCTTGCAAATTGATATACCGTACATACAAAACCGAACTGTCATCATTTGTCTTAAATTTATTCTGAATGTGAATGTTCTTTTCTAGTTCATCCAGTATATTGAATAACCAAATATCTGCTTAATCAGATTTCAAAAAAAAAAATTAAAATGAAAAAAAAAGGTGCTTGATTTTTTGATCACTGGTACTCACGTGTAAGTCCACACATAGCCAAGAAAAATATATGGAATAGGCGGCAAATAAACGCAATCATTGTTGACTACTGAAACGAAACGTTAGTTAACGTAAATTATAATGTATCATAAAGCTAAAAGAATGTAGCTATAGATTCATTCGGCAAAGTATTTATGAACAAGCATTCATTGCACCGCCACATTATTTTCCATTTTTCTAATTTCGAGGATAATTGTTAAATCAACTGATGTTAAACAATAATCCAATTAAGAATTCACACGTGTAATATCATTAAAAAAAAAAAAACAAGTTTTTGTTTAATACCATGCTCTTTCTGTGAAGGTTAAGATTACTTTCTACAACCTCTGGCAATGTCCAGCGAAAAATTCGCCTGTCATGTCAGAACGCGTAACATGATTGGTACATTATTTTTTTTGCTTGAGCCGATCATTGATGGAATATAAAGATACTGTATCTTTGCTATGTAACTATATTTAAAACAATTTTTTTGGTCAGAAACTAATTTTTAGAATATAGTATACGAAAGTTACAATTAATGAATTCATAAAAATGTTTTTTTTTTTGTATATTATATTTTAAGTCAATAATATTATAAAATCAAAAAATTATTATGGTAAAACTTTATTAATGCATCTTTTTTAAATATACTTATTATCTTTCTTTCTTTAAATATATGGTCAAGCTTGATCTCAAGTATATAAATATTTAAAAAATTTATTTCTTTAAACATACATTTCTTTAAATATATGATTTTTAAATTTTTTATATAATTTCAAAAAAAGAAATATTTAAAAAAATATTAATTAAAAATAATTTATTTAATATAATATTTACTTACCAATTATTTAACAAAAAGTAATTAATTTGGCAAATATATTAAATTTACAAAACATAAAATTTAGCTATAAATTAGCATATAAAAATTCATAAATTATATTTTTTTTAAATTATTAAATTTTATTTTATAAAAAAAATCTTAAGTTATTAATTTATTTAATTTGTTAAATTTTTGTCATAAATATTATATATTTATTTATTAAAATTTTATTATATATATGTTTATTTTATAAAATTTTTGTATATTATATTTGTAATTTAAAAGAATAACAATTAAATATTTATAAAAATTTATTAATTTAAGATTCTATATTTAAATAAAACTAATTAATTAAAATATTATAAATTATATATTGTATTAATATAAATTAGATAAATTCAATACTTTATAATTTAATATTAATAAATTTTTAAATCATCAAATAAAAATTAAATTAATAAAACTATATTATTTAATAAATTAATCAAATAAATGAAAAAAATGAAGCTTGTTTTATATATAAATTAATACTTTTATTATAATTTACAAATTAATTTAAAATAAACAAACTTTTTATATTAATTTTTTTTTTTTTTTTTTTTTAAGATAAATATATATTAATATGAATTTTTATTGATATAGTGATATTTAAATATAACATCAAGTGTTTTTTATATATGGAATCAATTTCAGATACATTCTTATATCTTCTATATATAAAATTAACACTGTCTATTAACTATTTCTAATAACAGTTTACATATCCACCTTAATTATCCAATTATATAAATTATATTATAAAGATACAGTATATTAAAAATAATTAAAAATATTTATATAATATTGTTAGATTTTTATGAAATTTTTTTTACTCATTTTTCGACTATTTTTTATTTTATTTTTTTTATTTTTTTTTACCCTTTAATTAAACTACTATTAGTGTGTTTATTAATTCATTTTGAAAAACAATAATACCATATATAATATGATATTGTACAGAATCAAACTATTTATCATAGTAGAATACCTGTTAACAAGTTTCAAATTTGTATATGATTCTTAAATCCTTAATATCAAAACCATCATATTGCCCACATGATCTAGCTATTTACTAACTATTTAATTATAAGGGAGTAAGTTTATTAAACTATTACTGTGTGATACTAACTATCTTAAACTTTCCAAATCATAATTCTCTAAATATGATTGTGGGGAATAATAAAATTGCTTCCTTCTAGAGTTAGATACCTTTAATCTTTACTCCAAGAGATTAATATCAGCCTATACTTAGACTATTATTTCAATACAATCTTGTTTTTCTAAAAGAAAAAAAAAATTTATTTTTCTAAGAAATAAAAGAGAGATAAAAGGGAAAGGAAAAGTTTGTACTAGTAAATAAAAACTTATTTAAACTAATCATCAACTTAATAAGGGTCTTTTTTGATTTTGAGGAGAAAAAAAACTGATACAAGAGGAAGGAAGAAGACTTCAAACTATACATGTGGTAGAATTGAATTCTACCATTTTTCAAAAACTGTATTATGGTAGAATTACTAAGTAACATATAGTAAATAATTGGAATTC